TGTAATATTGATCGTTATGCAGCATAACCCCATGATATTTCAATCGGGCCAGGAGGTCAGCACTCGCCTGTAAAACCGCCGTCAGTGAAAAGTGACAATTAATTAGTACGGATTTTCCTAATTGATTTCGGATTCCATTATAAATTTAGATACATTTCATAGGAACCATGCTTGAAAATATTATTTCATGTAGTTAATTGGCAGAAGACCATTTCTTCAAATATACTCAAGGAAAGGCCATATTTAGGTTTTAAGATAATTTTTTAATTCCCAAATAATTCTGAACTTTGTCTGCCATTTCATTTACGTTTACGGTTTTCGGCCCAGAAGGGTTATGCTTACGTGTAAGGAAAATCATATATTTCTCTTTGCATGTTGGAGTTAACCTGTAAGTTTGACAATATTTTGTATCATATACGGACTATATTGTATGCTTCACGAGGAGCGTTACTAAATGGGCAGGTGCTGGATGATTTGAGCGGACACTGCACAGTCTTGCAAAATTTCATTACTAGAAACTTTTTTAAAAACAAAAAGATGCCCTTTCTTCGAGCACAAAGTTGGAAGAAGACGTACGTTTCTACCGAACATGTACAAGAAAAAAAAATCTTTGTTCATGTTTTTCATAAAATTTGACGTATATATGGGCTTCGAAAGTTGGTGGACATAGTGCATAATACTATGTTAGTAACTGATTTTACAGGGTGAGGTTTTTTTAGGCAGCCGTAAAGAAGTACATATAGAAGCCAGTGCTCTAATATGTCTGTTATACATTGAGATTTGCTGCAAATAATCAATATCGCAGGCCCATTTGCGTAATCCCTCCAAATCGAGACCGCACTTTAGAATTTCAGCTAACATTTCGTCTGAAAAGCCTGCTTTACCCCCTGTGGTCACTGTCTGGCGAAATTAACATAATAGATCTGAAAATATAACAAAGGAATGGGAAAAATCATGTTGTTTTTTATGAGTGCTTTGCACGGTATCATAGATGTAAAGTCCCTTTGGGACTAGTTGGCCGTCTATCTGTCACCATATTCTCGTTTGACAATTTCCGTCAGCTGCTAAGACTGCCGGCTCAGAGGAAGAAAACAACTGAAGTGTGTCTAAAATTCCAAATTGTTAAAACAACAGTTGGGCAAGAATACGCACTCTAAACAGCCTAGTGAATCCAGGTCCATGTATTTAAGAGATAATTCTCAAACGGGACGTATTTTACTGAATGGGTACGGTATTACCGACAGAGACAAGGAAGATTGGAATGGCCATTTCTGGCTTATTAGCCGTCGTCAGCCAGTCATACCCAATCCCGAGGCGTGGAATACCCGAGGCTCGAACTCGCGACCTGTTAGTTAGAAGTCCACGCCTCCAACCACTAGGCCACGAGCCCGCGACCTTGTCGGTTTTGATCGGGAATATAAAATGGTAGACTACGCTCCCCGGTCTTTCTTACGGAACTCACTCGTTCCGTACCATTGCATATTCCCTATCGAAACCGACGAGGCAACCGCAGTTATACCCCAACTTCGGGTGTTCCACACTTCGGGGTTAGATATGACTGGCAGGCGACGGCTAGTAAACCAGAAATGGCCATTCCAGTCTCCCTTTTCTTTGTCGGTAATAATATACTGCCTATATCATGCGCTGCCGTGCGACTGCTGGTTGGGCTCGAGAGAGAGCCCGTAAAGCACGACGGAACGAGTGAGTTCTATAAGAAAGATCGGTGAGCGCCCCCTACCACTGAATGGGTACATTTGTAACCAGACTGTCACCAGCATTTCAGGGCTAATAAAAAAAGACACTTTTAGGGGGAGAATGAAGAAGATTACATTAGTCTTTTTTGCAAATAGTAGGGTACACACGAAGATTTGTCCTCGAAAATATACACAAATCGCGGATGCACACCCGAGGTGAAACAGAGGCAGTTATGAATGTCACCCGCATAATCGAAAACTGACCTCTCATTTACGCTCCCCTAAACCGGAGGCCTGTACTGCAGATGTCAGAGTAGACACTTGCGGAGTAAGGTCAAAGGCAACGTCAATCCAATCAACAAATTGCAGAAGTCTGCGGTGTTGCGTGAAGCATAAAACACAGCGCATCAGCAAGTGTGGATCCTGCAAACGGAAAGATAGCTTGCTATCTGGTACTCTTTCCGAGCAGGAAACACCTAATTAGGTTGCCGTATGCTATACAATATAACTGCCGCAAACGGGCACTTACCATTTGCTTGTACACCATTTAGGCCTCAGCATCCCTACCAAGCATATGACCGTATTTTAGATGTCGAAACACACCTACAGCAGCTGGCCTAGACAGCAAGGCGACAGATTAATCTTTCATGTCTGAACGTCTGAAACGTTCTGTATTAAATTTACTTATATCAGCCGTTAAGGAAATGCTTTCTCACTAACAAAAACCATTTCTAAGTAGTTTTATTGATGTAAAATTTGTAAACGCGAAAGGAAGCCAATAACGCTCTATTAGTCAAGCAATTGCCCATGTTACTAACTCTTCTTAGTTATATTTTCGTACAAGAGTAAGTTTTTTACTGGAGCACAGTAATCTGAACGATAACGTTTTACCAAGTCAATGTGCGGCCCTCTGAAAATTGTCATTTTTTGTCATTTCCAAAAGCAGAAAAGACCGGTCACAACTTGTTAATTGTAGTAACTGAAAGACAGGAGCTCGCCGTCAGAATCGCATCAATCCATTTAGTGTGGGCGTCAACCACCGCCAAGACCATATGGCCTTGGAATGGCCCAAAATAATCGGCGTGTACCCTTTTCCATGGGGAGACGGTCCAGGCCCAATGCTTCAGAGGCACCTTCGGTAAGGTCTTCTGTGTTAATTGATACATGTGACACGCTTTTCCATATTTTGGATATCTGCGTCAATTTTGGGCCATGAAACATAACTACGGGCGAGAGCTTTCATTCTAAATGTACGAGGATGAGCATTATGCATATCTCTGAGAATGGCCTGTCGGTCTTGTGGTGTCACAACTACACGATTGCCAATAATATGCATCCTTCTTTTAGACTCAACTCGTTCTGACTGCCATAGAATGGCTGAAAATCAGCTCAGGCAGATGACGGCCAGCATTATTGCAGGGATCTTTTTACGCGGCTTTAAAGGGGTCTCTCGATGTCCACCAACTAATTCGCTGACAGAATTACAAGTGCATTAACTAGGTTTTGCAAAAGATTCACGGTCTCAAAAGCAGGTGCTCCATTAACGTCATTGTCTACAATAGGACGCCCACTCAAGGCGCCAGCCACCACGTTTGCACTACCCGTAACGTATTTCATTGCATAGGTGTGAGCGGAGAGAGTGAGTGCCCATCGTTGCATTTTCGGCGAGAAAATCTGTTGTATCCCTAATTTTCCACCCAGCAAACCTGAGAGGGGTTTGTGATCAGTATGAGTCTCGAAGGGTTGACCAAAAAGATACGCGTGGAAACGATGTAGGCCAAACATTATTGTTTGGCCTCCTTATCTACCTACGAACAGTTGGTTTCCGCTTGGCACGTGTTCATTGATGCAAAGGCAATCGGTATCTCCGCAACAGAAGGCATTCGGCGCATGAGAACCGCACCCACGCCGTAAGCGGACGCATCGCATTTCAGCATGATAGGCTTTTCAGGGTTATAATGAGCCAGAACAAATAAGGAGGTAAGAACCGCCTTTGTCTGCTCAAAAACACTTTGTTCGACTTCGACCAGTTCCAGCAACGATTCTTTTCAAGTAGTCAATAAAGAGGCTTTAGGATTGTAGCCGATTGACTCATAAGGCGCCTAAAGTGGGTAACCAACCCCAGGAATGGAAACAATTGACTAGTATTGTTGGGGTGCGGCGTCATCTCCAAGGCCAGAAGCTTATGTTCGAGTCGATGTAGGCCAGTTTTATCCACACGTAAGCCCGAATATTCCACCGAATCTGCAAGGAAAGTACACTTACCTTTCCTGAGTTTGAAACCTTCGTCCCATAAACGTGCTAACACGAAGTTTAGAGTCTTTAGGTGACTATGCTCCGATGGACCGATTACTGATATGTCGTCAAGACATGCAAAAGCGTGAGGTACATCCTTCACGAGGCCATCAATCAAGCATTGAAATAAACCAGAAGCAGAACTTACTCCAGATGGTTGTCTTTTGTATCGAAACAGACTACAAAGCGTATTGATGGTGGTGGCGTCTCGGGATTCGGTATCTAAGACGACTTGGCTGTAAGCACGCCTCAGATCCAAAGTTGTATGCTGGTGACCACCTGAGAGAGGTGTGTGCAGATCCTCGAAGTGCGGGAGAGGATAAGGATTTAGTTCCAATAAAAGCGAAGAGACGAGTCCCAGGAAGAAGTCTTGAAGAAGAAGACACGATCGCCGGGACAAGAGCTTTATTAGGCTGACGTTTTGGATTCCTGCTCGAATCCATCATCGGAGACAAAGGCAGATAAGGGTGATTCATGCATAAAGGGGTTGCAGTATTTATAGGATGCAGTAGCCATGCTACCGCATACCTATGAATATTCACGGCTCCCTCCCCTTCATCAGGGATCGTTGCACGTGGCGTGATGGCCGACATTCGTGTCGTTAATTGCTGCAATTTCATCACGTGCGTTGGATGTTGATGTGATGATTGCTCGACCATCTGAGATGCTGACCCGGGTGTTGGGAAGAGTGTTCACCTGTGCGCTCCCCGCGTGGCCAATTACTCCGCCTAGACGAAGTCTCAGCACGGTGTATTGAATGGGAAGATCATTGCATTTATTAATAGACTGGGGGCCGGTAAACCATGACTCAAGCATCTCCCTGCTCACGCGGTTGTCACCTATTGCGATAATTTCGGCCTCATCAAATTTGAATGCGTGGCCGGATCTCGTGGAATGAGCCGCAACTTGAGAGCTGGCGTTATTTCTCCGCACCGCTGCAGCGCGTTCGGCCATTCGCGTTTGGAGTTGTCTTCCGGTTTCTCCGACGTAGTTGCTTTGTCCGTAACTGCATCAGATCCGATAAACGACTCCAGATGTTTCTTGCCGTGGCAGTGGGTCTTTCGGTTTAATTAACTGACGCCTGAGGGTTGCCTCCGGTCTGTGTGCAACTCCAACCCCAAGTGGTGCGAGAAGGCCGCCAACAGCTCCCGACTCACTGCCGTGCTCACTGCAGTGCGTTTCGACACGCCGATAGAGCGTCCTTACACAACTGCGTTTGTGACTGATTGGGTGGTTGTTGTTGAAGTTCAGTACTTGCATCGTATTTGTCGCTTTCCTGAACACTTTGGTTTTTAGTTGACCACAATCTTTGCGGCATACGAGGACATCCAGGAAGGCTAGCTGGTTGTTCTTTTCCTCCTCCATCGTAAATTGTATGTCCGGGAAGACCGCATTCAGACGTTCCTTGAATGTCAGCAGTTGATCCCTGTCGATAACGACGAAGGTATCATCCACATACCGGGCCCAGAACTTCGGTTTGTGGTGTTGGAAGACCAGCGACTCTAACCGTTGCAGGACTGCCTCGGCGATGAATCCCGAAATCGGCGAACAGATTGGTGTGCCCTTCACCTGTTCGTAGATTGCCTCGTCGGACGTGAAGTACGTCCTGAGACAGAACTTCAGGAGCTGAAGGACTTGGGCGCGTCCAAGACGATTCTCCGTTTCATCGTATTTACTTTGTAGAAGCAGCTCGATTGTCTCGATCGCCAGGTCCTGGGGAATAGAAGTAAAAGAGGGATGTAACATCAAAAGATACCATGACCTCATTTGGATGGAGGCTAACCCCTTTGAGTTACTCCAGGAATTCTGCTGACGAAGAGACCGTGGTGTCTGACTCAGCGGTCAGGAACTTGAGACGCCGGAACAGCCGCTTAGCCAATCCGTACGTTGGAGTACCTTTGAGCGACACGATGGGTCGGAGAGGAGCGCCGTCTTTGTGCACCTTGGGGCGGCAATAGAATCGGGCCAAAGCCGTATCTTGGGGTTTTGCCATGCGTCTGTCGGTCGGTGTTATTGCACCTGAGTACTCCAAGGCCAACAACGTAGCATTAATTTCGCGTGTCAGCTCTTTTACAGGGTTTGTTGCACATGGGACATAGAACTGTCGGTCCACCAGTAAACCTTTGGCTTTTTGAAGGTAATCTGTCCTGTCCAGCACAACCGTGGAGTGCCCCTTGTCCGCTGGCGCGATGACCAAGTCTTTGTCGGCCTTCAGTTCTCTAAGCGCATCACGTTCGGCCTTGGAAAGCACTTCCCGCGGCCTGTGGGCCATTAGGAGAGACAACACTTGGTGTCGGATGAGGCTCTTGGTCTCCTCCGTTGCCTCCGTCTGACTAAGGATTGATTCCACTGCTGCAATCATGTTAATAGTTTTGGCGTCAGTCGTGTTGAATGAAGCTTCGTGCCTTAAAACCTGCATCTGATCCTCCCTCAGCTCCTTTGACGACCGGTTGTGCACCAGTTTGTCGTTTCTGGGCGACGTTGGATTGGGCAGCTTTCGAAATTTATTCTCCAGTGCTGCGTCGCGTATCGTGCTCTGTTCGCGGGCTTGTTCAGCTATCCTCTGCAGGAGCAGATTTGTACCGATCTCGCCCATGAACTCACAGCATCTGGTCTTTTCTTGGTCAATCCTTTGACGGTACTTGCGAAGTCTCGCGTGGCCACGCGAAGTGGGCAAGGGCCGCGTCCTCACGCCTACTCCCTTTAGTCTCATGTTCTCTACCATGGTGATGGACGCCTACCGTGACGAACGCCCTCGGATCCGCATCGCTTACAGGACGGACGGCCACCGCGTTAATCAGCGGCGGATGCACTTCCAGGCGCGCGTTTCCACAACCACCGCCCATGAACTCCTCTTCGCTGACGGCTGCGCTCTCAACGCCACCTCCGAAGGGGATATGCGAAGAAGCATGGACCTCTTTGGCACCGCCTGTGACAACCTCGGCCTGGTCATCATCACGGAGAGGACGGTGGCCATGCATCAACCGCCACCCGACGCTACCTACAACGCACCCCAAATAAACCTGAATGGCGCCCAACTGCAAATCGTGGACAATTTCACCTACCTGGGTAGCACCCTCTCCTGCACTACCAAGACCGACGATGAATTGACCTGCCGGATTGCCATAGCCAGCAAAGACTTTGGCCGTCTGCAAAGCACTGTCTGGAACCGTCACGGTCTCCATCCCAACACCGAGCTGAAGATGTACAAAGTGGTCACCCTACCGACGTCGCTGTATGAAGCAGAGATTGGACGGCGTACAAGTAGCAGGCGCGAGGAATCAACCACTTCCACTTCAGCTATCATCGGCGGATACTAAGCTGAGGTGGCGGGACAGGATTCCGAGCACAGATGTACTGGAGCGGATGGGAATCCTCAGCATCTACGCCATCCTGAGGCAACTACAACTGCGTTCGATCGTCCATCTCGTGTGGATGGACGACAAGCAGCCAATCAAATGACGCTTCTACAGAGATGTCGCCACGGGCTCCCACCGACAAGGAGGCCAAGTCCACCACTACAAGGACACTACGGAGACTTCCATGAAGCGTTTGCAGTTCAACCCGGCCAAATGGGAAGACCTCGCCCGAGACCAGTTTACCTGGAGGAGAACAGTGAAGGCAGGCGCAACGATTTATGAAGCAAATGCAGAACCGCCGCCGAAGCCAAACGCCAGGGTCACAAATCTCAACTGCGCTCAACCCGCAATGCCAATTCTCAACCAGCCTCGACCTGCCCACGCTGCCAGCGGACGTTCCGGACACCCGGACTACGCCATCTGCTGTCTCCTCGTCCAACTCTGCCTCATCCTCCACACCGAAATTAACAATGACCCCACTCCTGAACCTCCACAACCATCCTCCTCCCACTTCCCCTCTTCCTCCATTGCTTCAACATCTGCTGCGACGGTTCCTCTACCTAACATCACCGCATGCAATCCTGACACACCAATAAACATAAAGCGCTTCACCAAAAACGCCAGCGATGTGAATTCAATCCATATTTTTCCTCACTGTGAACACACCTTCATTTCACGCATCGGCCTGATCGGTAAATTGCGAACCAATTGCCTCCTTATTTACGTGACATACAACACTCTCACGCATCTGAGATGTACGCTACTCAATTCCCACTGTGTGAAATCCTGGTGCTTGTGTTTGGGGGGGGGGGGAAGGAGGCTAGGTCTCGTGCATGCGGCGTGCAGACAAGGTCACTGGATATGTCAACCACCGCGCCCATTCCCCGCACATGTCAAATGACCGGCTCGAACAGTGGCAGGGGCCTGAGGGTGAGAACAGAGAGCGACGTCGAAGACCAGCGTATTTTCCTCACTAGAAACAATCTGACGAGCTCGAAGCTATCAAAGTGCGCTAAAAGCCGTGGCTTACGATGTTGCCATTTGGCAGGATAACTTGGACCTCCCAGTCGGGCCAATGCTGTGTGCTTGTGTGGAGCGGTCGACTGGTCGTTTAAGCGTCAGGCCTCAATGACTCCTTCCGAATGTGACCTTTATAGCACTGCTACTCCGTGGAATCCGTGCCTGGTGTGACGGCACACCTGGGGGCGGCTTCAGCCGTGCCAGCCGCTTTTGTTATTGGTCAAAATCCCGGCCATTCGCTGTATGAATCAGGGAGTGTGGAGTGGAACGTCAGGATACGGGCTCGGCCATGCCATCCACCTGCGTCATCCCCATCTCCGGTCTTCTTGACTCTTACTGACAACGGGTCCATGTCGGGAAAGAAGATAGAGTATGGCAGATGCAGCGCAAGTCTGCACTCACTTTAAACTGATTCATGCACATGTCACCGTGCCTGCTTCACCTTGTTGCGGAGCACACTGTGGACGTCGTCGACAACGCCGACTTATTCACTTAGGGTAGCTCAACGGGGTCTTATGCATCGCGCAAAAGCCTCGATAGAGTCCACACGATGCCCAGAATAACCAAAATATGCAAAAGTAGCATTGTTTATGTCCCTAATATCGCACTTTCCCAGCCAACGCCCGCAGGTGTTCTCGTATTTGTGTGGATAGGCGCTGACTCGTACGACCAATATAGCCTGCACCAAAGGAACAAGTTAAGGAGTAAATGCACACATAGGTGGTCTGAACTGATAGTCTATCCTTGCCTTCCCCGTGTAAGACGGGGTTGATAGAGAACAATCCTTGAACTCTTGTTGCCGGGAACGTCCGTGAAATGGCTTTTTCAAGGCGCCTTCCCAGGAGTTCACTCGCCACGTCCCCTAGAAAGGAGACTTTGAGGAACGGAGATTTCTTTTCTACCGTTGGTATGACGAGTTTTGCTGGTCTTTTGGAAAGATTCTTTGCACTAACTCTGTCAGGATACCTGCTCTCACGAAGCAGGTTCTGGATTCTTCTAAGTTCATCATCAATGCTATCTGCCAAACAGATTTTTCCAACCCTTCGCACCCAACAACGGACTAGATTACATATCTGTTGAAGGGGTTCGAAACTGCAGAAGTCACTTATTGCACTGACCAGGTATCTTTTCCATAGACGCGTCTTCGAATGCTACCGTCAGCACCTCTGCTTAGAAGGACGTCTAGGAAAGGCTGGGAGCCTGCCGTTTCCAGCTCCAACGTAAACCTAATCGGCGAATTTGCTTATTTACAGAATCCAAGAGGGTGGTTATGCCGGTTTGTCTGGTGGTAATTGCGAATATGTCGTCAACCTTACGACCATAGTGCTTTAGCTCATTGATTTGGTTGTTTAACTGAAAATTCTCCAGCTTGCCCAGGAGGACATTGGTTAGGAGAGGACCAAGAGGCGAGCCCATAGCAACTCCGTCCATGTGTCTATATATTTGGTTGTCAAAAAATGACCGCACATTTTATGTGCGTTTTAGTACTAGTTTCCTGAGCGGGTTCGTCGGCATGCCTATTTTTTGATGACTGGTTGACAAGAATTCACATATACACTCGACTGTCTCTGTGGCCGGGAAGTGTGTGGAGAACGATGAGACATCAAGTGAAAACATCACCACACCGCTCAGGTTTAGGTCTTTAACGTCTTTAATGAATTCGAGGCACCCCCATAGCTTTCCGGTGCTATTTGGTACGATGCAGGATTGAGTTACTCTGATAACCACTTCTCTGTTGCATGACAAAGAGAGTTGTGCATTTCCAAGATCCGACGGACTGGTAGGTCGTTCTTGCGAATCTTCGGCAGACTGTACAATCGAGGGATGTGTGTGTCTACTGAGCAGACGTGTTCGAGGTCGCGATCGCTTATGAAGTCGGCCAGTCGTGCTCCTCCTTCGCCCACAGAATCTTTTCCTTTGTGAGCTTTCGTAAATTTCTTCTGATCTGACAATATTGGCTGTATTTTCGCACATAATCCGATCTATTCATTAAAATTACGTTAGTTCCTTTATCCGGTCTTGTTACCAAAATATCCCTGTTCTCTCTCGGTTGCTTTAACTTCTGTTTATGCACTTTTTTCAACTGTCACCCCCATTTTTGCGCTTTAGTTGAGATATTGAAAATTGTAATTCACCAGAGTTGATCCAGGTGTTGGACACTATCTGTGGAAGGGTGTTTTAGATCGTACGTCTGGCTACGGAGATTCTCGAAATATGTTTCCAAGTCTAACTACTTGAATTTTCGACGGGGTATGCAGAACCTAGGACCAAGAGACAATGCCTCAAGTGATGTTTTATCGAGAGGCATAGTAGAATAATTATGTACATACTGATCTGCGTCCTTTGAAGCCCTGATTGTGGGTTCATTTCGTTCATCCGTTGAAGGAGTAAAGATATCTTTACGTCTCACGTTTTATTCCAAAAGAGTCAGTTTAGTTGGCAGTTCGCTGTATTTCGTTTTCTGTCAGGATGTCTCGGCTGCGCGTTAACAAACGTAAAGCTCTGGTTTTTCCATCTTTGCGCAGGCGCTTTTTGGTCATCCTACCAATAAACAAGTAGCATTCTCAGGCTACTTAACTGAGCTAAGTAACGAGAAGGCATTACTTATTTAAATAATGTCGCAGTGAGTTCATTCTACCAACCTCAGAATTCCGACTTTACATGAGGCTTAGGTGAACGGGGTTAACAAGTTGATAACCCTACGGTACACGTTCAGCATAATCTCCCAGTGATCAAGACACCTGTGTCGTTTGTTTGTGATTCTCTAAGAGACACCCGGCCACTGATCTCAGGATCAGAGCCTTCACAGATGACACGACCAAGGTACACTTATGACCAGAAGAACCGGTGAAGTAAACGGCTAAGTCCACTTTTTTCTCATCGAACCATTCCAGGAAGTCAAGTGTTTAAACACCTGCCAATACTAACATCTGAATGCTGCTCAGCGATGTTTTTAACAGCAACTCTAACCAAAAGTTTTGTAAGTTTGTCCTCGAACGCGAAAATGTAAATTGTCATTGCAGACCTGAATGCCCCTCTTATTTCTCTTAGAATTATTTGAGTCTAGGGCAGAAATCCTGTTTTAAGACATGCTGATGTAAAACACAAACACGCGCAGAGCGAGGAAAACAATAGTGCACATAACCTAAGCGAGGCTGAGTGATGCAACCACCTGAAGCTCTAGCTGCAGCAAAATCACCAAATCTTGCTCTTTTAC